CAATTTGGGTGGGGTTCCCATCCACCTCGTTTAGCCACTGTGCCGAGTGCATCTAACACCATATCCAGCTTCTTCCAACAATCATTTGGATGACCTGGAAGGGAGCAGCTGTCTCCTGCTGTTGCCCACCACCAACGGCATGGTATACTGCCCCTGAACGTGGAGGGTCCATATAGCCACCACATGAGACCAGGTAGTTCACGTCTGTCTTCCAGACAAATCTTCAGTACCACCAGATTGCAGGATTGATGTCAGCCCTTCTAGATAGTCCAGACAAGAAGCAAAGCAATGAATTTTAGCTCTATCATTATTGTAAGGTTACATTAACAGAACCTTGCAAGTCTGAAAGTATTTCTCCCCTCCTTTCCTTTTACTCTCTGGAAATCCAGGGAGGGTCCCTTCTGAAACGCTTCTCACACCCCTTTTCCTTCTGTGGGCTGAGATACCTTTTACACACCGGTTGTCCAGTCTGCAGCTCTTCCTCCTGTCTCCCAAGGTCATTCCCGCAGACCATCACAGTAACCACTATGCCACCTTTTAAAAAAAGGGGGGAAATGTCTTGGCAAAAGGGTCATGACCATACAGTAATGGATTAAGGATGGGCAGAAGACTTTGAACTCCAGAATGCTGTACTCTTCAAACTGCCGTTTCCAGGGTTCTGAGCGTGAAACAGAAGGTGTGTTTCGAGGTTCCCACAACTACGCTGCTCTGTGGCTTGTGACTGAATTCCCTTTTTTGAGACTTTTTCCAGCCTGGCCAGCGTGGCTGTAGAGGCCAGGCCTGCCCCTGCGGCTCTTGGTTTACGGCAGACAGAGCGATGCGCACATTGAAAGTTGAGAGGTGCGTGGCTGCCCAGAAGGCAGCTGGCTACTAGCCCACCTGCTAAGTTACTACTATTGTATCCTCTGGAGGAAGCACTGGAAAATGGAATTATTCTAGGCTGATTTGTACCAGCTTGAACTTTGGCATGCATGTGTACTCCGTGATGCTCTTGGGCTGCCTTGTGTGAATATTATTTGCGCGCATAAAGAAGCATCAGCTTTCTTTTTCGTTTCTTACAGTCAGCAGCCGCCCTTGTGCGCAGCTAAAAATACCAGCCAAGGACAGGGGTGTCGTTTTGGCTAGTCTTGCACCTGGGTGACAGGCAGTGCAAAAGAAACCAATCTTGTTGCTTGATCTTGCTTGCGAGGTGAGGGAGGTGTCGGTGACTACGGAAAAAATGGGCAGGGAGGGTTTTTTTAAAAAACAAAATAAGGCATTTAAAAAAAGGAAGAGATGTGCTAATTAAAAAGACTGCTAAAAGGATTAGCTACTCTATTGACCTGTAATCTATTGGCTGAGCAGCTCAGTGTTTTAAGGTTTTGTTGTTTTTTTTTAAATAAAGAAATTGAAGGAATTTGTGCCTAGCCTCCCTGTTGAGAAGAAGGGTTTTTTTTCATAATAGATTTTAATGGATTATTTATTTTTCAGTGGGTGAAAACAGAGTATTCCTAGCCCCGTTGGAACCCGGGCAGCTCCAAATGTTTCAGATTGGGCTGTTTTGTTCCAGGCTTGAAATCAAATGCTGCTTTGCCTTGTTCACACCCCCATAAAGGATGAAAAATGCTGAGCATTGAGACCGTAAACACAGTTAAATGGTTCTCACGCAGGGAAATGACCAGGGGGACCCTTTGAATCATTGGGGGATGAAATATGGAGTGAGGTTAGACAGGAGAATTGCAGAGAAGCTGGGTGAAATTTCAGGAAATACATGAGCACAAGTTTGCTTATGCCACAAGAACCAGAGTCAAAAAAGAAGAGAAGTTTGTGCGAAGGGTGAAAAAGATCATCTCTGGAAAGGGAATGAGGAAAATTGCAGGTGAATGGCTGGCTGGGGTCTGAATACTGTAAAAAAGACCTCTGGCACTTCAGATACAACTTTTGCACGCCTCCGCTCGTTTGGAGGACTTCCAGAGAAAGGATCACTGTAAAGATGGCAAAATCCTGGCAGGGAACAAAGAAAAGGCAGAGCCCACTCCTTTTGGGCTCAATCTTCTGCAAAAAAAGCAAAAAGAAAAAAAATCACAAGCTTACATGTCCCACCAGGAAACCAGGAAGAGCAATTCGAGATTGTTAGAAACAAGTTTAGGGCATGTGTGTGCGTACACATACACACACCGTGCCACCTGCGTGTGCGCGCGCACACATGGTTTGAAGGCTTAAAGCCAGGTGAATGGCATCAAATACTGAAGGAATTTCCTGATGATGTAGCTGAATCTTTGGGCATTATGGTTGAGAAATCTGGGAATCACTTAACTGAACATGTTTAATGTTTACAAATATTGTACATCAGGCAGAGTACAATGGTGGGGAAGTTAGAAACTAAATATTTACCTAATGATGTTTTTAGTAGATTTTCTTTTTTTTCTTTTTCTTCTGTTTGGTGATTTATCTTTAAATAATAAAATAGTGGAGATATTGGCATTCAGCTCAGTGATTTAAAAAGACCTTTAAAGTGTTTTAAAGGGCTTTTTGTTAAAAATAACTCAATGTATTCTGCTTTTTATGGTGAATCAATGGTCTACAGAGCCCCAACTGGAATGGGTGATTTGCCAGAAGACTAGCAGGAGCAAATGTTCTTCCTTTCTCAGAAAGGGAAAAAGGAATATTTGAGAAACTGGAACTCAATCAGGCTGGCATCAGTCCCTGGGAAGATTGTAGAGTAGATTTGTAGAAACACCTTCAAAAAAATCAGCTAATCACCAGAAGTTAGCATGGATTTATCAAGAACAAATTACTGAAGACAAATCTTAATTCATATTTTGAAAGAGTAATTTCCTTAATAGCTCATGGGAACACTAGATGTGGTATATCTTGATTTCTGCAAGATTGGCAAAGTAATGTTGGCATGACAGTTGAGTGGACCTTTAGTTGGTTCAAAAATTGTACTCATAGAATGCTTGTGAATCCAGTTCCTTCTCAAACTGGAGTGTGGGCTTCACTGGAGTGCCACACAGGTTGGTCTTGTCTGGTTTGGCCAAAGAGGTGGCTGGAATGCTTCCTGAATTTGCAAATGATACTATCATCTGTCCCTAGGTCACATGGGGACAGAAACAAAATTAACAGTTATGTCGACACATTTGAAGAAATGGGCTGAAAAGAACAGTGAATGTAATAGTAATGAAACATGTTTCATTTAGGAAAATAAAACCAAATGCCCCGATATGGGACAGGAGATTGCTCAGCCTGGTAATAACACTTGTGAAAAAAGTCTTGGAATAATAGTTGGTTGCACATTTGTGACATGGATGCCAGAAGGACATTTGAGGCTGCATCAACCAGATGGTTTCCAGATCGTAGGAAGTAAGGATTCTATTTTGTTTTATCTTGTTGAGACCCTGCCTCAGATAGTGTGTCCCATTATGAGCACGGCACTTCAAGAAGGATTGAGAGAAATTGGATCAGGTTCCTCAGAAGGTCCACGAGGATGATCAGGAGATCTGAAAAGAAATCCTGTGAAGAGAGATTGAAAGAATTAGGTTCAGAAAAGATAAGATTAATTGTTCTTCTCAAGTACCTGAAAGGATGTTCACTAGATCGTGACTCTGTTCCAGATTGTATGACATGAATGTTTGAAGTAGAACATCTACTCATGGAGCTGGTGGGCCATTCTCCACTAGGTACATTCAAACAAGGGTTACTTGTCAAGGATGGATTTTGGATTTGAATCAATGGGGTTTCCTGCAATCAAGCTAAGGCCTAAATGTTTCCATCATTCTATTATTAAATGAATCCATTGCTTGGGCGCTGTTGTGGTGAATTCCTGTGCCTGAAGGGGATTATGAGAGAATTGAATGAGCTGAGAAAGAAGTAGCAAGCGATGAAATTGTAGATTTTATTTAGAAACTAAAAATAAATCCTTGAGTCCAGATGATATCCGCTTGAGTGTTGCTAAGAAAGCACATGCAGGAATTGTGGATAATATGCAATGTCTCTTTTAAGACTGGCAAAATTGATCCTCAAGGGTTTAAAAATGGCCAATTTAGTCTCTGTTCTGCATGAAATTATGAAGAAAATGTAGATGAATGCCTCTCGCTGAAGAAGTACCTGCATCTCCTATGTGTACAGAAATTAAACCCTATCTCACTAATCAAAATTTTTTTGAAAGTATTAATTAGTGGGTAGGATGATCCAGCAGAAATTGGATGTGAGCTTTCAGCAAAGGTTTGACAGAGTTTCTGACTGAACGCTGCTCGGAAAACTCAGCTGAATAGCAACCATAGGAGATGTCC